ATCCTAAACAAATACTTGTTTAACGTTTTATAACTAAAAATTACATTTTTAAAGGAAAAGGGACTCGCATATAAATAAATGTTTGATTTACTCGTTTTACTATTATTGTAGATACATTTTTTATTATAGTGATCCTTATGTAAGTTTAATACTTATTGGTAATAAATAAAGTTATAATCCATTTTATTTTCACAACTCTAATAGGTTATGGGCTCAGACTACGATTTTAAAAAAGGAAAATTAAAAGAATGGTTGGATTATTACAGCAATTAACGCTACTATCTACAGACAATTTTTCAAACTAAAGATTCTGAGTCGTGAGCTAATAAGAAAAGAACTATATGCCACTGAACCTACAAAATAGAGAAAAAGGAACTACTAGTACGAGGGATGTTCTTTTTCCGATGAGCCTATTTAGTAGGCGATGATATTTTGCAACAAATTTTGTCTGACATTTTAATATACTTGTTTACAAGTTTAGTTTCTTTCACCTTCTCAGGCATTCCTCTCCCCCCCCCCCCCCCCCCCCCTAAGGGATTCAGGCAAACTCCTCCCAATAAGGCCTGGATCCAGCCACTGGCTCCCCTCAATCAAACTTGGAGTCCAGCCTGCTTTCCCTCCTCTTGGAGTTCGCATACCCAGGCAGCAGACTAACGACATTTTGACGACATTTTTTGGTAATTCTTGGTCATCGACGTCATGTTACCAAAAAATGAGGTGATTATAACGTCACTTCTTTAACGTCTTTTTGACGTCAGTGTGACGTCAATTTATTGTCACTATTAAATTAAGGTTTATATTAAACGTGATTTCAATATATTTTGTTTATGTAAAATAACATGGCCTAAACAATTATTTTTTAAAACTGTTAGGTCTATTAACGTTTAAATCTGGCGCTTAAATGCATAAAGACTGATGACACCACGTGACCCATGACTGCGTCTGTCTGTGGTTATCGGTCTGTGGAGTATGGCTCGTGTGTGTTCGAGCCGTTGGAGCAAGCACGAGAACGGTATTGCAGATTGTTGCATCGGCCATGTGTAATGGTGTGTGCATCGTGGATCGTGGCCCGTGTGCATTTAGGATTGTTGTTAAAAGTTAAGAGGGTCAGTGAAAAAAGTTATATCAGTATCAACCCAGCATAAGGTATTTTATATCTATATTATCCTTATTCTTTAATGATTTTATATCTTTTACATTTATAGGATGTTTCCTAAAATGTTTCCAGGTTCGTGAAACAGTATAAAATCAGAAAAATCATTGTGCCAAACCAAAATTATAACGAACAAAATGGCCACATTTGGAGCAGTTGGATTTATATAAATTAATATTTTTTCCAATAAAGTTTCATGTATTTAAACTTTTTTCTTTTTAATTATAATTATTTCATTTTCTAATTTTGTTTTATTAAGGACCGATTCCACCGTTGTGTTAAACGAAGTTTACAATGACATTTTTTCATTAACAATGTCATTTTAATCTCCGTTTAACACAACGGTGGAATCGACCCTAAGTGACCCACAGTTCCTATAGGAGAGTTACAAAGGAGTAACAATATCAAATGTAACGTCATGGTGACGTCTCAAATAAGTATAAAGAATAACGACAAAGGTGACATTAAAACAACGTATAAACACGTCATATTTAGACGTGAAAAGGGCGTCTAAATATGACGTCATTTAGGCTGTGACATATTCACGTCATTTTACCATCATTATCACGTTAGTTTTCAGAGGATAAATGACGTTCTGTATGACGAAAATAAGATGTCATAATGACGTCAGTCTACTGCCTGGGTAGCGGTACTGAAGCGCAGATGGCCTATTGTACCACCATCTGTATGCCCTACTCCTTCCAATTTTTCATACATTCATTCATCATCATTCATTTCACGTACTCGATGGTTAACCCATAGTCACTCATCCAAGACGTAACTGGATACACCACTGCTTCACTGCCGCAAGAACGAGAATTCACAATAGCCCTCTCCGGTTACAAGTTTAGATAGTGATAATTGTAATTTTGAACTGCTTGACTTTCCTTAAATGAATTTTTGAGCACCTAAGCCGAAAACGGCAGCCACAAAAATTTGATATTACTCGGAACACAATTAAAGAGAACCGGCATATGTCAGAAACAAATAACACTATTTTGCACAAACATTTAAAAGTCGTCAGTTTTGTTCTCGGTGAATTCCCCAAAACTTGACTTTCGCTCAAAAGAAGATGGTGCAGATCTACATTAGATAGCTTTGACCGTAAATCGTCCAATTTGGTTTACAAGATCGTTACCAAGGGTTTGAACTGCTATGATCCCGAAAAAAGCAACAATCGACAGTTTGTCTAGACGTCTTCAACAAAAGTTGTTCGTGAAAAAAGGCGAAACAAAAAGATGGTCTATACTTTTTTTTTTAATGATTGTGCACGTTTTCACTGTTACTGTAGCACTGGAGGATAGACGTACTGTTAATTCAGAATGGTACACTACAGTTTGTTTGCCTCAAGTTCTTCAAAAGGTTCTCGAAAAACGCTGCTTGAACAAATGAGTATCTGTAATGTGTGGAGGGTGGGTTACCTTACGGTACTTATGCCTAATTAGGCCCATTGTGCATCCTCCTGAGAAGATAGGCACCTTATAGTTCGTGAGCCAGCCTACAGATTTAATGTAGTTGACGACGTCGCCAAGAGGTGCTTCTCTTATATCGGCCGGTGTTAGCCGATACCCGCCTAACACAAATCTTCTAATAAATGAGAGCGTCGAGCAATCGTAAAGGATATGGGTGATGGTCTCATCCTCTTGTTCGCACCCTCTCCAAAGTGCGTATTCTGACAGCCCCATGATATGGAGATGCTTTCGTACTTGGCAATGACCAGTCAGAATGCCTGTGACTAGGCGCAGATTATGTCTAGTCATAGTCAAGTATTTGTTTGCTGCAGTGTTGTCAGGATAACTTAAGAGCTCTCTGGCAATTCTGCAGTTTCTTGTTTCATCCCATCTTTCCTTGAATTTCACAAGGGAATGTTCTTTAATTAGGTCTGTCACTACCGATTTTGTCAGGCCAATAAAAGGGCCAGGTCCAAAAATATTGATTGGCTGCTTTCTTGACTAGTGAATCAGCAAGACGGTTACCTTTCGATTTGGCGTGACCTTTAATTCATCTTAAGGTGACCACGTTGTTGATGGATACTTCGGCCAAAGCTTCGTGACATTATAGTACTAACCCTGAATAAATTCGTGGTCTGTTCAGAGTGAGTAGTGCTTGTCTGCTATCTGTATAGATGGGCATATTCCTTCCAGTGATATTGTTTCTGGTTATTTCTTTTGCTGCTATGAGAATCCCCGTTAGCTCTGTTTGAACTACACTGGCACTATTACTCAAAGCCCATTTTATGCTTAGGTTTAAGAATCTGGAGTATATTCCACATCCTGAACCTTGTTTTGTTTTAGAGCCGTCGGTGTAGATATTAATCGTACCTGCCACTTCTGGCTCTTCTATTTGTTCGATTATAACTTTATATGGCTTATGAAAGATATATTTTGGTGAGATGGAGTCCATGTTCGCTTGAAACAGAGGGAGGATATCCAGCGCCTCCTGCCAAAAGTGACATCTTCCCTCACCAGATCCTACATCAGGTTCTATTCCGACCGTGCGGAGGCGTGTCATTGTCGTCAGAGCAACCTCCTTGATGTAAATATCAAGGGGAGTGAGACTCAGAATGACTTCCATCGCTCTAGTCGGTGTTGTTTTCATGGCTCCTTTTTATGTTGAGACATGCTGTTCTTTGAATTTGTTCTAGTTTACGGATAGCTGTTAATTTTTGGGTTTTCGGTGCCCAGACAATTGCACCGTATGTTAGCATAGGTCTAACTCCATTAGAAGTTGGTTTAAGCCATGACGATGAGCAAGAAATCGGTGAGGATGTTCCATAATGGGTAACTTAATGTATCTTGCTCCGACTAGTAAACCAGCTATAGTGTATTCCACGTCCTATTTTAGCAAAGTGCTAAATAAGCCAACAAAAAAACATAAAGAGCCGCCAAAAGAATTTAAAGTCTTCTTTAGATGAAGAAAAAAAGAAAGGAAATATAATTAAATTAAAAGCTTTCTCCGATGCAGATTGGAGCGGAGACACCAAAGATAGAAAAAATATAGGTATCTGGTTTTATTGTATTCTTCAAAGTTAATGCTGCCTCTTTGGGATCTAAGAAACAAAATTGTGTTGCACTATCTACAGCTGAAGCTGAGTACGAGTCCGTGGCTTTATCAACTAATTACCTGGTATAATTGAAGGGAATTTTAGAGGATTTCCATTAACCCAGAATGTTTGTTGTCCTACTCGTAAATAACAATGGGATAATATCTACAATTCAAACCTTTAAGAGCTCAAAAAAATATGATTTTATAAAAGAACATTTTATAAAAGATGTGGCACAAACAAATTCGTAGATATGTTTACTAAATCTTTCTGCAAGGACAAATTTATAAATTTCAGATAAAAATTAAATTTGAAGTAAATGGTACAAGATTTGACATTAATTAATTCGATTTGAGACTACATCTACAGAATTTAAATCGTGAGGGGATATTAAGACTAAGGCCCATATTTATAAACAAAACTCAGCTGAGTCGGACTTGGATAAGTCGTCCTTGAATGAAAATCGAAGTTCGGTTATATCGCGTGAATTTAGAGATGGGTAGTAACAAATCCGTAACTGTACATAACAGTTACATATTTGCTAATATCCATCTCTAAATTCCAGTCAAACACCAAAACCACCTAGAACTTTAGAGCCTTAGTGTTTGATGTAGTTTTCCTAAGATTGTGGATTTTAACATAGTGAACCTTTTCTGTCATTTATAATATAAAAAGAATAAATCCAAAGAAAAAACAATATTTCAGAAAAAAGATATTTATTACTAAAAAATTAAATAATTACACATTAAATACAGATTACATATAGGTACAATAATATCTTTTTAATTATATATGTATATAAAAAAATTGTATAATAAAAAATTGTCGATGAGCTACCTCTTTAAATAACTTTCAGAAAACGTGAGCAATCTATATCTTTGTTTGAGGTTCCTTGCCCTCACATGAGGGTTGACTATTTCTACGGTGTGATTGGCTGGGAACCAACCGGTCTGACCGTCTCTTATTTTCTCTCCGTGGTACCATCCTGAAAAGCAAAAAAAAAACTGTTTATGAATAGAATTATGAATAATGAGAGAAACCAGCATAAATATATAATACAGAATTTATTAAAGAAGATAAGACAATAAAGAAGATAATAAAGAAGAAAATAAAGAAGGTAATAAAGAAGATAATAATAAAGGAGATAATTAATAAATAAGATAATAAATAAGATAAGAAAGAAGATAATAAAGAAGGTAATAAAGAAGATAATAAAAAAGATAATAAAGAAGATAAAGAAGAAAATATTGAAGATAATGAAGATAATAAAGAAGGTAATAAAGAAGGTAATAAAGAAGGTAATAAAGAAGGTAATAAAGAAGGTAATAAAGAAGGTAATAAAGAAGGTAATAAAGAAGGTAATAAAGAAGGTAATAAAGAAGGTAATAAAGAAGGTAATAAAGAAGGTAATAAAGAAGGTAATAAAGAAGGTAATAAAGAAGGTAATAAAGACGGTAATAAAGAAGGTAATAAAGAAGGTAATAAAGAAGGTAATAAAGAAGGTAATAAAGAAGGTAATAAAAAAGGTAATAAAGAAGGTAATAAAGAAGGTAATAAAGAAGGTAATAAAGAAGGTAATAAAGAAGGTAATAAAGAAGGTAATAAAGAAGGTAATAAAGAAAGTAATAAAGAAGGTAATAAAGAAGGTAATAAAGAAGGTAATAAAGAAGGTAATAAAGAAGGTAATAAAGAAGGTAATAAAGAAGGTAATAAAGAAGGTAATAAAGAAGGTAATAAAGAAGATTTAAAAAAAATAATACAGAATTAAATAAGCAAGAGTAGAAAAACGTTTTCATTTGTTAAGAATGTCACTATAATATGACCCATTGTCTTAAGAATTTGTAGGTAAAAAAAATATTTATACTATAATAAAGAAAAACAAGAAGTTGTCAAAGCCATGTAGGTATCACAAAATAATACGAACGACCGTTTTCCTCCCAAAAACAAGTATTTCTTTGACCAATAGCACAACGCTATGCAACAGAGGTATTGGATTATATATAAAGAAAAACATCAGAGATAAAATAGGATATTTTTTTACGAGTGATGGAAAATGACTATAATTTTTCTACGAACTTAATTATGTTATTGACTGAAACTATAATTTAGAATAACTGTTTGTTAATTATATAATAGTAAATAAAAAATTCAAAATTTCTTTAAAAAGGGACCTCTAAAAAATATTAGAATGAGCCTCCAAATTATGTGACTTTATATAATGGATGTTTTGCGAACACAACAAATGTGAGTGTTTCGTAACAAAAACACTTTTAGTGAGGTTATTTCTAAGTATGTGTATAATTTTTTTTGAATGTTTATTAAGAATATATGAATATTTATTTTATGAATAGTTAAATAGGATAATTAAAAAAGTCAGGTTAACAATCTTTGTTGTTTTTCCCAAACATCGATCATTTTAGCCCATTCTTGGATTGACTAATTGAGAATGAGCTAGTAAGCCTTTTCACTACTACCCTAGTAAACCCTTCAAGATAATACATCACATCCGAAATGACCAGAGAAAATTCTTTTCCTTTCTCGATAAAAATATATATATAAAAAAAGAAAAAGGAAAGTCAATTACCATCGTTCATTTTTCTTAGAACATTGATTACGTCTCCTCTGGCTAAAGATAATTCATCAGGCTGGCAGCCATTGTAGTTGTGCAAAGCCGTCACTTGCGGACAATCCCAGCATTCGTATAACGTCTCGTCTGGATTTTCGGATTTGGGGGGAGTGAACGCCTCGATCCATCGCTCCTTCTCCGATTCCGTCGAAGATGACAGCAACTGAAAATTATTATTTCTATTAGATTTATAGATTTATTGTTCTACTGTTTCATGTTACATTGTTATTCGAAATGAGGGAAATTTTCCCGCTAACTCGTTATTATATTACAGGCTAAAGGCAGAATATCATATTTCACAAATAGTGGTGGACATGAATCACGCCATTAACTTTCTTTTGGTAAGAATGAAATAAAATAATATCAGTTTTATTTTCATTTAAATAGAGATTGCTGGACAAGATAAAATCGTCCACCTAGGCAATATAGCTTTCAGAATGTAATATATCCAATATGTTATTAACATAATTATGAAATAAAAAATATTTGACACAAAACAGATCCCTGTGGGATACCCATTGATACGTTCAACTATTCAGAATTTATATATCCTGTTACAACCTTCAGCCTTATATTTTGAGTTAATATATCGATTTCTATCAAGTAGGCATGTATTAATCCATCTTTAAATAATTCTGTAACGATAGTTTAATTTATTTATAGTTTATTTATTTAAAACACACTATTTACAATTTATTTAGGACGTACTAATTAATTTATATAATCCTTAGGCACTAACTCACAATTCTAATTTATTTATTGCAATTTATCTTTTCAGTCCAATACTTTATTATAAACTAAACTTTCGTCTTCAAACTCGCGATATTTAAATCAAGCCAACTCTATGGAAATTCCATCTCTATGGCTCAACGGTCACGTATTGCTTTTTCATGTAGATTTTCGAGAAGCGGTGTATTTGTCTCTATACATATCAGCGGTGTTTCGATCATGAGTCGGTTAGCTGTTCAAGATCGCGTTCTACAGGGACGGCTTAGGCATTCCCATGACAATTCCATAAGCGTTTAATTTTCATAATAAATTGTCATGATCAACCCAGTTATTTACTAAGGTCACAATAACATAATAACATAAGCAGCTTTGGTGTGGTGGCCAAAGACACAGCAAAGGAAAGCAATAACGAGGCTAAGCAAGGTACAAAGACTTGCCTGCCTCGGAATAACGGGGGCAATGAAAACAACCCCCACTGCTGCAATGGAAGCACTAACAGGATTCCCACCTCTTCACTATGTGATACAAGAGGAGGCAAGATTAGGTGCTTACAGATTAGAGAATACACTGGGAAATCTTGACATTAGGCCAGGTCACATGAGTATCTCAAAGTTAGTGACAGGAGACGTGCTAGACATGAGATCATACCACATAACCAATACTCCATTTGAGGTTTTAATACAGGAAAAAGCGGAGATCACCATAAGGGAGTCCAATGCCCAACGACAGGAACAAACCTGGTATACAGACGGGTCTAAGACTGTAAGAATGAAGGAGCTGTCAAAAATCAGCATATTCAAATAATGTCAGACAGCCAAGCGGCACTTAAGGCCATATCGAGTCAGAAAGTTACGTCGAGGCTGATATGGGAATGCATCGAAGAACTAAAAACACTGGCAGACCGAAATAGAGCAAAACTATTTTGGGTGCCAGGTCACCAAGGGATCGAAGGCAACGAAAAAGCTGACGAACTTGCAAAAAGAGGGTCAGAATAAATACCGGAACCAGACATAAACCCAGGAGTACCAAGAAGTACAGTCCGGGGTTTCATAAACGACTGGATTCGGGAACAACATATCAACTATTGGGGAAGCACCCCAAAACAGGCACATGAAAAAGCCTTCATAGACAGACCATGTCCCAAGAGAACTGGAGAACTACTCTTAATGAATAGAAACCAGTTAAAAGTGATAACAGGGTTCATGACTGGGCACGCCCCAGTAAAGGGATACTTGAACAAAATTGGCATGTACAATGGGGAACTCATGTGCCGACTATGTCACAAGAAACCAGGAACGGCCAAACACATACTGTGCGAATGCGAAGCTCTAGATCGCAAAAAACAAGCTCTTTTTGGACAACCCCAGGTTGATCCAACAACGTATAGAACCCACTCACCCAAGGATCTCTACAAACTTGTACAAGGTACAAAGGTGACAGAGTGGGTGCTATGAATTAACATGGGATAAAACACAATAAGCCAATAGGCTTCTGTGTTATTCGGAGACACATAGTCAGACAAGCCCAGGAGAGAAAAAAAAAAGGTCACAATCAATTATGTCTTGGTAAAAAGAAAAGTAGTTGATGTTGATTTTTTTTTAGATTTGAAGCCGTTTTGAGTATGTCATATTTTTCTAAAAAATTGATCAAACGATCCCAAAAACGAAGATTAAAAGATCTTCTGCAAACTATTGAGAAGATTTACTGGTCTATAATTAATATTAAGGAGGTCATTTCGCCACACCTCTCGCCTCAAATGTTAAAAAAAAAGTTATTAGATTATTACTAAAATTAATTTTTTTTCTAATAGTTGAAGTCCTTATTTATCTAATACTGAACTTTTAACTATACCTTACCTTGCAAATTTTTGAGAATTTTTTTTTAAATATGAGTATTTGTACAATGCCTCACGAGAAAGTAAGTCCTCAACAACAATTCTCGAATTATACTATTATTTATTGATTAGATGGAGTAGAAAAAAACTAAAAATAAGGTTTTTGAAATATTTAGATTTTGTTTTATACAATAAAATATATATAGTAAACCGTGGAACTTATTGAGAAATTAATATTAAAAAATCACAAAAAATTTTCAAGTAACCTAGTTGAAATTTTTTTTTCTCATAAGACACTGTACAAACACACTTTTTTAAAAAAAAAATTCTCAAAAATTTGCACGGTAAGGTATAGTTAAAAGTTCACTATTAGATAAATAAGGACATCTACTATTAGAAAAAAATTAATTTTAGTCATAATCTAATATTTTTTATTTAACATTGGTGGCGAAAGGACCTCCTTAATATGTGTAGCTTTTCCATCAGTTTTAGGACCTTTAGGAAAAATGCCTACATTGAAAGATAGGTTTAAGAATGTGTTAAAGGTTTGACTATATATTCAATTATTCTTTTAGACCAGAAGATCATTTATTTTTTAATTAACTAAAAAGAGTTTAAGCTCTAAAGGTATAAAAGCCTTTGATTAAACGAATCTTGGAAAAGATCTAATAACGTGAGAGATCAACGTAGAGTTTTTTAGAATGTGTAAAGATCGTTCATATATTATACAGGGTGATTCAAAATTGAGTGCAAAAATAAGACATATGTATGTCCTAACTTGCTTCGTTTTATAAAAAATAAAAAAGATGTTGAACATCTTATTATATTCACGGAGAACTTTCCCGGTCAAAATAAAAATTGGCTCCTTATGTCATTTTGGTGCAGCTAATTAAAGAAAGATTTAATATTATAACTCACCATTTTCTTGCGGAAGTTTGGTATAATGTTATTAAAGATGCTAACAGCTAACAGTTATAAAGAAGATTTTTTCAGTTTTGAACCTATTTTAGCGAACATACAAAAAAATGCCCGCACTACCAACAAAGAAAATTTAAAGTTTTTTAAAAAAAATCGGGTTTTTTAATTAATTACTCAAAAAACCTTTTAGTTAAAATTAAGGCAGAATTTGGTGACAATCTCCATCATTTAGTAACTAATTTTTTACTTGTATTAATAGAGCTAGGCACAGATTTTGATTTTTTTTCTTGGAAACAAAGCTAGGTACTAGTAAAGCTTAAGAGGCAAGAAAGTCACATTATTGACCGATTAATCCCGCTTTATTGTCAAAAAAGCAGTGCCGTACCATAATTTTACCTATAAGTATCAAGTAGGTAGCCCCCTGAAACACCACTGGAATTAATATATTTATTTTATTCTCATCAAAGGAAGGCCCTTATAACGACAAATAAGCCTACCACATTTTATTAAAATTGACTAAAAGGTTTTTGAGTAATTGAAAAAAAACAATTTTTTAAAAAACGAAACAAGTTGGGACATACGATTATATGAAAGAAAAATTCTTATTTTTGGCTGACAAATAGGTCCTTAAAATCTTTTCACTCAATTCTAAATCACCCTGTATAGTGTAGAATGGAAGAGGTAGAATGCTGAATGAGGTAGAATACATTTAAGTTTCTGTGAAAAGGCAGCACAATTTAAAAATGTGTGACAAGAGATCTCTGAAAGAATTGAGATAAACAAACTTACACAAACCATCCCCACTCAAATTAGCAGCCATTTAATTCAGCCGATGTGAAAGTTATGTCTGAGTAAGTGAGTAATATAAAACACATATTGAATGATTACAATAAATAAGAGCTTAATTATGAATGAATGGATTAGTCTTATAGTTTTACGTCATTGTTTAAAATACTAACAAAACTGTTTCTCCAATTTGAGCTGCAATTTTAATCTATAAGAAAATATACAATACGGTTTTTGAATACTCTGTATAAATTGAAAATTGTTTCTTTAATTATAACTTTGATCATAAATCCTCCCTAGAAACTACGTCTGTGTCCAGGCGCGGATGGATCTGGGAAAATTTATGAGGGGGGTTAGTTGTCGTCACCGCCATCTCGTTTTTTTTTTTTTTTGTAAAATCTCCAGGTGACAATTTTATGAATTAGTAGCAGCTCGGGGTAATTATCCTTTTATCCCCTACCCCTTGTATACGCGCCTGTCTGTGTGTGACGTACTATACCCATTTCCCCGTCTGGTATAATAATGTAAAACATATCGTCTATCTTTCGGCTTATCTGTCACTTTTTGGTTTTATTAATTAATAATTTTTTTAATTGTTTTTCTTTGCCAAATGTTGACTAGAAATTCTATTAAAGGAACATGTCTTACTTTTCTACGTTGGTCAAATAAAATTTTAATATTTCCTTTGAACCAACGTACAACGAACTCTTAATTTAAAATCACCGTTTTGAAACACAATTTTATTATTGAATAAATTTCCTTCCAAGAAAATAATCTCTTGACAATTATTAATAATCTTAAGAAAGTGTAACACGTGTTTATATAAAAAGAGAATAGGTGATTTTATAATAAAGAGTGGGAATATGTAATACGCATAATAACACTATCACTTTCTTTACTACCAAGTGAAATGGTTTCACTTTTGTTTACCAAGTATGTTGTTATAACACATTTAAATTGATTTACATGTTTTTCGATGAATAATTTGCAACCATTATAAATCATCAATTAACGTAATAGAACACTCAACTTTAATCTTAATTTTTTAAATCTTAAACTGATATTAATCTATCGTTCTTAGTCATTAATTATTTTATTAGATATTAATAAATACATCGTATGATTCAATTTTTAACATGGTTATTATACCTATTAAATTACATTGTTTTTTTGAAAATAATATTTGCGCAGCACCCGCGTGATTCCAGGTAAATATATTGCAGATAAGAGTGTTTATTGCTTACAGATTATGGACGTGACGAATGTAATAAACATTGTTTTTAAATTATTTTCAATAGTTTATTGTTTTGATAAAAGGGCAAGATGCAATTCTTACCGTGTTTTAGAAAAGTTTGATAAAAAATTACTTTTCGGCAACTTACGCACTTTTAGGTTGAAATAAATATGGATCATATCATTACTCTAATTCGTAAACGTCGTAAGCCCACTTTTATTGGAAAAAAGTAGCATTGAAGGGTCCTATTTTGTGTGCAGACTCAAATAGAAAATATCGTTACTCCCACATTGTCAAATTCAAAGTAGAAAAAAGCGTAAGTCCATCAGTAGCCATTACAAAGAGTGTAAAATAATCCTTCCGGCGAATTTAACAATTATTTCTCTAAAAAATAGTGTTTTAAAGCAGAGAAGTTGTTACTATATATTGTGTGGTAAGTATAATTTACCCTTATGTAATAGTTGCTTGTTTTAAAAGCTAATGTAAGCCTAGCAATATCATAATGAACATTATATATGTTTTCGTTTAATTGAATAATATTTTAGACTTACGCTTTTTTCGGATAAGTTTTATTTTCTTTTTATGAGTTCAACATTTTTGAAAATGGCTTCTTATATAGTAGTCGAATTAAAAGAATGATCATTTAGAACCTAAAAACACAAACACATTGCACTCGGAGGAAATTTTAAATGTTTCCCCCAAGATGCTTTCTAAAAATAATGTTGCTGATCAGATTCTTCAATTCTTGACTATGATGCACTTTTAATAATGCTGTAAAAAAAAGGTCCTCACTTTATAATTCTATGATTCTACGACATGGCGAGCCGTATGTTGTGCAGCCCTGATGTAGATGAAGGAACAAGAATTAAAAAAAAAACAAATAATGATAGCTATACTAATTTCGATAGAGAAGAATGTATTGCCAATCTTGACGTAAATGAAAACGAAACAAACATAGACAAACTATTAAAAATATTTGACGAACATTTTCCAACAAACGACGAAAATGATGGTGGAACTGAAAATGAAAATGCGCAAGTAGGATACGAAGACAAACTAAGTAATAAAGATGCAGAAAATACAGATAAAGAATTATGAAAAAGAAAATTCTAGTAGTGAATCTAAAGAAAGTTTGACTAAAACAGATATTGAGAAACAACCCAAACATGACGGAGAAGAAATAAAAGATATAATGTAAAAAAATGTGTGGAAAAAAAATCAGAACCAAACGAAGACGAGAAATGGGAGATAACTATTATGGTAAACGGAAGCGTAATGGAGTTTGGAACTATAAAGTTCCAAAAGAAAAGAGAACAATAAAAGAGCGTTGTTACTGCAAAAAACCATTAAAAAACAAAAAATTGCAATGTAGACAACTCCGTAAAAATGAAAGAATAGAAATATTTCATACTTTTTGGTCAAACATGTCATGAAAACAAAGAAAAGTTTATACAGACATGTTAGTACGAAAAGAACAAAACTATAAGACAAATGAAACGTAAAAGACGAGGACAAATCAAAAAGAGACTACCTGGCTTTATTTATTACAAACACTAAATAAAAAACTTCCAGCAAGTTTATTTTCGGCTGGTAAATAAAATTTATGGAAAATTTATTAGAAGTTTACAAATTTTTATTTATAATCGGAAGTTTTTAGTAAGTTTTTAAGAGAAAATTCATATTTTTAAACTTTAAGCAATTTTATTTCTTTATAGATGCAAAATAAAATGAGTAGACACTTCTTTTATAAATTAATTTTTGAAAACCTTATATCTAGTTCGATAACACAAATTTATATCCAATTTACAAATAAAAAGTTGCAAACACTTGCCGCAAGTTTATTTTCGGCTTACAAATAACTTATTTCGATAAGTATGTGGAAAATTTATTATAATTTTGCAAATTTTAGTTTATATTCGGGAGTTTTTAGTATGTTCGTTAACGAAGGTATGTACTTAAATCTATTTTTGTAACTGTGAAAATTAAATTATCCGAAAATGTATTTTAAAACTTCTAGATTGTAATGCGAGCCATTTCATTATTCAGTCATGCTCTAATCCTCCAAGTCCCCCTCTGTCTTATTTGGCCTTCGAGGCTCAACTTGTTCAATTATCGTACATAATTAAACCCCTTAAGACCAAACATATGTGATGACTATGGCGAAGGTGCTTTCGAGTATATTTCAGATAAAACGAGATGTTTCTAGTTTTGGCGGGGAAGCATTCTGGAATCCACCAGAATTTTAAATGTGTATATTGGTGGAGGAATAACGGAGCAGTCAGTTGTATATAGACAGTTGTGAAGATAAATAGTAAACAATTCAAAGACATTCGAAATATATATAAATTAGAATAGTATTGTTTTAAAAATAAATAAGTGTTCAAATAAATTATTAAAAAATAAACTGTTTAAAATAAACAAATGTTACAGTATCAATCAGAGGCGAACCGAGGTTTACATTATTTGTCTCCCCAATATTTCGAAAAGAACGAAATGATAGAGGCTTGTCCTGGTTTCTTCAAAATGTGTTGCACATCATCCGAGATCTAGTGGAACAGTTGAATATTAAATTATTCGCCGCGTAAAACTTTTAAACTTTCCACTAGTTAGCTAGAACATATTTTTACAGAACTAGAACAGACCCAATATAACGTTTATATTTGTGTCCTTGTTTATCGATATGGAAAACAAGAAAATAAGAATACACTAAACGTTAACTATAGGAATCTGTGTTGCCAACCGGAGAGAAATTTCCCATTTTGCGAGAATTTTTATCACAAAAGGGAAAAAGGGAAAACTTAACTCAAAACGGGAATTGTGAAAAATATATGATATTAAAAATAAATGCCACTTGTACGGGTTTGAGGAATTTTTTTTAGAAGCTCGATAGAAGGACCTGGTTTATAAAATTATAAGCTGAGGACCTTTTTTTAGAACAAACGTCCGGGGTTTGAGGAATAAAAAGGTGGGAAAATTGGGTATTTTTAAGGTAAGTGGAGGGAAAAATTTTATTACAAGGTTGGAAATACCGATTGATCGGAATGTAACTAGTATAGTGACTTTGACAGCAGACACATGCCATTCGAAGTGATTATATTTGGAAAAAAGCACGATGAAGAAAAAAGTAGAGAGGATAGTTTATAAATAACTGAAAATACATCAAAATACTTTAATGATGGAACTAGGGAGGACCAAAGAATGTAGAAAACCTACTATATTGCTTATATTAAAATTTGAAAACTATGGAGAGCTTCAGAAGACTGGTATAGGTATGTATTTTATTTTTTATATCATGGGTATGTATAACATACATATATTAAAATAAAATGCTTGGTCCTTGGTCCAAGGCCAAAAGATGTTTTTAATACTGTGATTGACCTTAAAAACTAATTCATATTAATTTTTAGGTAAATAGGTTACAGTAGGTTATGCACCTACTGTAAAAAGTTACAATTAGTGATATTTTGGAAAAAAATCTACCGACTACTTATGTTGTTAGCAAGAGGAAAATTGAAAGTATCAAATTTAAAATTAAATAAAAGAAGTCCTTAAAAGTAATAAATTGAATTTGATAATAATATAATACATACAGTTAATGTTCAAAATGTTTTTAGAGGCTGTTCCGTTTCATTTTATGGAATAACTGGTGATTTTTCCAAAATCAGTTATGGTTTGGTTCGCTTTCAAGAAGAAACAAATGAGTAAAATAAAATATATTAATTTAATTTGATTGAAGTTATACCTAGTAAGTTTTCCACATTTTTTTTTTTTTTTTTTCAGTCTATTAGAGGTGAATATTTTTAGTGCCTGTAATTTCTGCATTTCTAAAAAGTATATCAATTTAAGTTTATATGTATACTTATGTTGTGTTTTCTGTTAAACACGGTGTTTAATTTGTACATAAATGATTAAAGGTGTACTTTAATTATAATAGAATGTTTTTGTTGTTTTTTTTATGAATAAAAATTTTTAAAACTATGTAACTTTTAAACTAGTTGGGATAATGAAATGTAGTTTTCATCACTTTTCTTCTAATTTTTATGTTATATTTATTTCTAGTGCCTAAGTTTTTGGTAAATCCATATCGTCCTGTAGATGTTTAGGTCTACGGAAATATAATTTATTCATGAAATAACAAAAAACTTACAAATTCGGCAACTTTTCCTTGTTGATTTTCCAAAATTGACAGATACAGCAGGTGTTTGTCCTGAGCGTCTTTTTTCATTAGACTTGGAAACATGTCTAAACTTCTGAGTTCTATCATATTTCTCGGACAGTAATGGAGAACCGTGAAGGAAGTTTCACTAAAAAAATATTTAAAATAAGATATTTTGTGTTACAAAATTGCTAATATGAATAAAAATATACCTTTTCTTCTTGGTGACAATAAACAAATCACTGAACAGAAACAAATTCAGTGTAACTTTGCTGAATCGTCTTCCGAAAGTCATTCGGGTATCCTCGTTTCTAGGTTGATAACAAATCATGGAGCCTGATCGAACGAGGACTCTTCCAGGAGTTTCTATACTAATGAGTGGTACGTCCTTTTCGAAATCTAATGACTCGGAAATTTGTCTAAGTTCGATTTCTTGTTCCTTCTTTCTAGCTGCTTCGTTGCATTGGGTTACAGTCTAAAAATTAATTTCAAAAAAGATATTTGTAAATAAATAACTCGTGAACGGTTGAAAATACTACAAAAATAGTAAGAACCTTTTTTAATTGGTATTGCATATTCTATAAATTATTTCTGTTTTTATTTTTGTAGTCCTAGGTATGCATTAAAGTTTTCTAAAAAAATTGATGAGAACTGTTCTTGTCGTTTTTTTTTATGAAATTCATTCATCTTTATAGTCTAAAATTAATGTAGAGCGATGAGATTTTGATAACGTCGCAAAAATTTGGGTCAAAATTTCAAAGTAAATATCATGCGAACCGTCTATTCTATTACGATATTGATAAGAACCTTTTTTGTTCAATAGTAATTAATATGGAGGTCAATAAATTTAAAAAAATATATTTTGAGGTAAATAACTCGAAAATGGTTGAAGATATTACAAAAATAGTAAGAACTTTTTTTAATCGGCAATAAATATTCTATAAATGATTTTTGTTTTCATTTTTGTAGTCCTAGGCAAACAGGAGATAGAACGCATTAAAGTTTAAAAAAAAAAATTGTTGAGAACTGTTTTTGCAAATTTTTATGTTATTCATTCATCTTTATGGTCTAAAATTAATGGGATTTATAACGTCACAAAAAATTCAAAGTAAATATCATGCGAACCGTCGATTCTATTGTCGACATTGATAAGAACATTTTTTGTTCAGTAGCAATTAATATTAATATTAATAAATTTCAAAAAATATATTTTGAAGTAAATAACTCGAGAATGCTTGAAGTTACTACTAAAATAGTAAAAACCTTTTTTAATTAGCAATATAGATTCTACAAATTATTTCTGTTTTCACTTTTGTAGTCCTAGGCTTCCACGAGTTAGAACGCATTAAAGTTTTCAAAAAAAATTGTTGAGAACTGTTTTGACAATTTTGATCTAATAAAATATGATTCCTTCGTCCTAATGAGCTAAAATTAATCTAGATGCCAATTAAAATCATAAAATATATTTGTAATTAATAATAGCTCGAAAAGTGTCCTTTGACCGAAATAAAAAATATCGAGGAAACAAGCGACATTTTTTACTTCATTTAACAAAAAAGCTATTATTTACCCCCCAATAAACTTTAAAAAACGGTAGGAGTCGAAAATTTTTACTTTAATCAAGACAGTTTATTACATAAAAAATCTTTAAATAAAGATGATTTCCTGACTATAGTAGGATTTTATATAAAAAGTTTTCCTTGGTTTATTCGGTCAAATTTTTTACTAAGTTATTAAGCACAACATATATTTCGGAAAACAGTTTTTTCCATCTTCTGGTGCAGTCAATGTTTTTTAGAAAACAAGGGCGTGTTTTGGTGTATTTGAAATAAAATATTGATTTAATTTAACAAAAAGTTGAGTTTTTATACATTTAAAAATTAGCAGTGGCGTCACAATAAAAGTTTAAAAATTAAAAAAATAAAAGAGAGATCTTTTATATCAGTTTTATTATTTACAGAATTATTATTTTTTTTTAATATGTATCATCTCACGTATTCTTCTTTTGTTGTAGTTTGGTTCATTTTCGAGAATTTTTACATTTTCAAAATCGAAAGAATGCAAATTTTCCAATGCGTGTTTTGTTAAGGCAGTGAAATTTTGATTATTAGTAACAATATTATTTTTACTATTTTTTATTTTGTTATGTAGATATGGTTTTGTTTGTCCAATGTCCAAAAGATGTGGTTTTAGCATTTTAAAAAATTTTAATCTGTTTGTTTTCGTCCCCCTTGTTTTTTAAAAATAAATTGACTGCACCAGAAGATGGAAAAACTGTTTTCCGAAACATATGTTGTACTTAATAACTTGACCGAATAAACCAATGAAAAATTTTTATTTCTATAAAATAAAAAATTCTGTTTCTCCTTTAATAATATTAATAAAAATATGGAAAATTCGTTCCTAATCTAAAACACTGATTATTGGAATCTGCAGTACATATACCTCTGGACAAAATTAACGAACCAAAATATTTTAAGACGGTGAATTTAAATTGTTACGTTAATTTTGACCAGGGACAAATATTCTGTATTCGGGTAGATTCTTCGTGGGACGTTTGCATTACTATTTTAATTTTTTAATTATTACATTTATTTCAGTATTCCTTGCTCTTGGACATAAAATAAATCCGGTACTAGCTGATGAACATCCTCGTAGTTTGAATGATACTGTTATAGTTCAGTTCGAACCGCAACCTGGGTGTAGTCAGAATTATGAGACCAGTGATAAAGAAATAAATGTGCCTTTGGAGCAAAAGACAATCTCAGATGATTTTATTCTCACTGGGAGAAGGATAGTAGATATTCTTTTCCTTTTCAAACAAATTGTTGATGGAGAAAAGCACAGACTGTTTGGATGTGATATCACAGATATGGAGATTATCAATGAAGTGAGAAAGGGGTTTATGTCAACATTTACTTTTAAATGTAAAATGTGTGGCATAACCGAAATAGCAGCTGCAATAAATATGACAATGATTGCGTAGAAAACGTAAGTCCACTATCACGACAAAGTGGCTGATGCAATTCACTCAGCAGCCACGCAAGTAATGGAAGAAGCTGGAAGAGAGGAAGCAGAGTTGGCCAAAAGCTTAGGAGAAGTAGATGAAAATGGAATTCCATTTATAACTGTGGTAGCAGATGGAGCATGGTCAAAACGATCATATAATGTCAACTATAATGCTTCTTCTGACGTGGTAAGTCTAAATTTTATACAAGTAGAAATTGATATTTTTAACATTATTCTTTTTAGGGATGTATTGTAGGTTACCGGACTGGAAAATTATTATATGTGAGAGTTAAAAACAAATTCTGCAGTACTTGTGATTTTTACAACCGGAAACAGTTAGAAATACCTCAACATAAATGTTTTAAAAACTGGACCGGTACGTCTACATCAATGGAAAGAGACATTATTATTGAAGGATTTCGAAGCAGCATACATACACGTGGTTTGAAATATATCACCTTGGTTGGCGATGGTGGCAGTTCTGTGTATAAGAAACTGATGGAAACGAAACTGTATGGTTCCCAAACAGCAATTTCGAAAATTGAATGTAGAAACCATCTGCTTAGGAATTTTTCTTCAAAATTAAGATATATAGTCAGTGTGTAAATTCTTTAATGACTTTCTAACATTATAATATTTAGAGAAACCCCGGAGTGTTTCTACGAATTCTTCTGTACCAGTCTACCTAAGAAAAGCGGTGGAAAAAAATTCAAAACATTTAATATTTGCTATCAGTAAGGCAACGAAATATCGAATTGAAGCAAACACCGATTTCAAAAAGAAAGTAGAACTGTTGAAAAGAGATATCCTCAATGCTCCTTCCCATGTGTTTGGTGAACACGCCGAATGTGACAGATAAGGCACCAATTTCGTAACACTTGAAAGAATGTGGGTTATACAGACACCTCCTGGTTTGCTTGATTCGACTTATTTTGAATATCGAAAGTTTCATTCACAATATGAATAATAATCTTGCTGAACATTATAATTCAATAGTTTACAAATTCGTTGGAGAAAAAAGAATCAACTTTTCGAAAAGGAATTCCTATCAGACCAGATGTGAAGCTGCGGTAGTATATTCAACAAGGGAGCAGAATATTATGATATACTCCATAATGCAATAGCAGGAAATGAGCCCAATACATACACAAAGAAATATTTAAAAATAATTGGAAAGAGGAATTTAAGATTTGCGAAACTAACGAAAGAAAGAAAGGAGTCGACTCTTGTGGCGATTAAAAAAAAATACGCTCTTCCAGATAGGGACTATGGTAATATCCATGAACCTATTCCTGATATGGATGAAAATGAGTATAATTTGAGAGAACTGGAATTCCTAAATGTGTTTAAATAAAACGCAAAAAGAGATTGATACAATAGAGAATATTATCAAGGAACAGACCTCTTCCATTCTATGGTTGGAAGAGAGACAAAAAAGGATAACCGCAACAAATTTTGGAAAAATTTGTAAACTAAAAGCAAACGCTAGCAGCATCAACTCAATTAAAGTATCATTATACAACAAATTTAAAGGCAACAACGCGAAACAATATGGGAAATTAACCGAGCCGTTTTCAGTCGAATTTTTTGAGGCAATCTCCAAACACAAAGAAAAAAATTGGGGTATTCATAGATAAAGAATATAGTTTTTTAGGTGCTAGTCCAGATGGATTGGTGGATGACAACGCGATTTTAGAAATAAAGTGTCCTTTGAATATTAAGGACATGAGTCCAAAAGAGGGCATACGAACAAAAGAAATAAAATATGCTAAACTTGAAAATTATTCCTTCGCACTCAATAGAAGACATGAATATTACTTCCAGGTCCAAGGGCAATTAGCAATAACAAAAAAAGAAAAATGCTACTTCGTGGAGTCCAAAAGGTTGCTTAATTAAAGAGGTAACTAGGTATTAATTAACTTTTAACTTTATTAATGTCCTTTTTTTTAGATTTATAAAGATGAGAACTTCTGGTTAAACGAAATGGTTCCGAAATTAAAAATATTTTTTTTTAACTGTCTTCTTCCGGAGCTAGTTGATCCAAGGGCAACAAGGAACTTGAACGTAAGAGAAAACTGTAGAAAAGAATTAAGAAATGTAAATTCATAAAAACACAAATAAATATTTCACTCATATAAAAATAGATATTTTTTCCTTCAAAAATGATCACAACTCGAAAAGAAATTTCTGAAAACTATTTCGAATAATTCCGAAACGACATTTTTACTTTCCTCCTACAATTTTCAAAACCGATAAATGAGATGCAATGTTTATTATAAAAATTACTACTTATTTCCAAAAAAATATGTAATTCAAAATATTAATGAAATAGAAAAGATTATGTTACTAGTATTTCTAAAATTTAAAAAATTCTACGACTGAAAGTAATACACAGAGTGGTAGCAGCACCTGGCGGCCAATTTTAATTAAAAAGCGCAATATTAATCCCATTTAAGAAGTATTTACTTTTTTAAAAAATAAAGACAATCAAAAATTTTTAAATTTATTATACATTGGGGCAGAAATATTAAAAATTTCCAAAAATGTACTTAATAATAAAAAAGAAAATTAAAAAAAAAAAGATTGTTTCTGTCCCAAGCAATAAATATTGACTAATAACTGAAAAAAGTTTCATGAAAATCAGATGGTTGCTCTTAATATAAATACAGTAAATACCTCGCAAACCATTAAAACTTTTTAAAAAATAATTATAATCTTTTTTCTGAGAATAAATTTGTTTCTGCATCCTACTCCCGTGTTAGAGTTCATCAAAGTTTAGATTTCTTGTTTCATATTAAGTCTAAAGATTTCTATAGAGATTTGTGCAATTGTACTCACCTTGTTTAAAGTTGCTAACGCATATTGGCACGTGAGATATTCAGGGTCGGATTCAGACAGTCTCTTGAGAATTGCGTCTACCAGCAGAGGCCACCGAGTTACTCGTTGCATTGGTAACATTAGAAATGAATATAAAGATAAAAACTGGCAAGTGGGACTAGATTCCAATTGAGTCAAGAATTCTGAGAAATCTGCTCTTTCCCTACAAAAAAAATTTAAATTAATAAGAAACTATATCTTCTATAGATAAAAGCAAAAATATGTTGGTTTTTTCAAACAAAAAAGGATAAAATAGAAGAAAATGGTAGGAAAATAGAGGAAACAATAAAAGAAAAAATTACAGAAAATAGACAAAAAATAATAAAATAAAAGTTGTAGAAAAGCAATAAAACCACTGATAAATATTAAAAAAAAATAATTGTACTTACTTGAGTTTGTTTAACGTTTCACTAATGGAAATTTGGTTCTCGCAATAAGGAATATAAACTTGAAAGTTTTCTTCTGCATGCCTCTGTATGAGATCGCAAAGGCCATCAAGTAGAATATTATTTTGCCAACATTTCTCGAGATCGTGAAGAATCTTTTTCGAACAAGCTCTCACTAAAATGTAACAATATGTTAGAAATATTATCCAAAAGGAACAAATTGACATACATTCAAATCGTCAAATATAAAAGTAGGTACTAGTTTAAAGTTATTATGTTTACTGTCATAATAGTTTTTCTATACTAACTTTGAGGAAAACTTTGTATTCAGGACGAATCGAATAATTTTATACAAAATTAATAAATCTATGAGGTATCAGTATTAAACAATAATTATTGTTTCTATTAGTAGAAGGTAAGACACTTGACCACAAATTTTTCCCCAGATCTGGGAAAATTTGTAGATGTGGCAACGTCGAAATACATGGAGTAGATGGTAGATATTTTTACATTTTCCCAGACATCGAGCGATTTTGTAGCCAGAAACGCCACAAAAAAAGGTAATGTCGCATTTTAGTACGACGCTTCGATCGAGAGATCCCTTAGGCAGACCTAAGACCTAAGCCGATTTACACCACCTGTCACAGCAAGGTACCCATGTATTTAAGTAAAAGGATAAAGTCATAGAAATTGGCATCGAAGAGAGCGTTGTCAACAATGTATAGCTTGTCATCGAGGAGAGTGTTGTCAACTGTCAAAATGATTCTAGACCTAAGAGACAAACAGACATAAACGGTATGTCAAAAGGACAATAACACAGTTATGCAGATTCCATCGACTTCTGAGGTATCCAATACCGAACCTTTTCTTTTCGAGGACTTAACAGAGGTAAGAGCATTTCATCTTTTAGAACATTAAAAGAAGATTCATTTATACTTATATCCGATATTAGACAAAAAAAAAATGGGATAAAGTCACAAGGTAATGCTTTTGAATTATGAGCGAGATGATTTGTATAGCCGATCTAATTACATTTATGTTTATAATGCACTGATTTTAAAATTTCTCTAGTGCTGAGCTTTTTTTATGCCAAACAATTTGGCAAAGCTGTTTCAAATGATAAAAAAAAATGAACCTCTAGTATGAATGAATTTTATTATAAGTGTTTATCTTCATGTCGTAACCTTGAACGTGACTCCAGCTGTACTTAGCGAGTATATATATTTTTGCTAACTCGATATAATAATTCCGCGCAAAGCCAACCCTGTTCTTTGTTTATTACCGTACCCGTAACATGAAGTCTAGCGTTAGCCATATAGAGACAAACGCACTGCTTCGAGAAGCTAACCGACAGATCGCTTTGCAACCTCCAAGTCATAAAAAGGGAATTTCCGAACGTTCTGGATTTCCGAGAGTGTTCTGGTACAGAGCTGGCTTTATATAAATAGCGCAAGTTTGTCGAAAGACGTTAAGTAAGTTCTAATAGTGCCTAAGTTTTAAATAAATTAATTAATACGTTATAAATAAAATAGTTTTAACGTTACAATAACGTAATTCTAACACCGAATTATGCAACAAATAGGAATGTAACAATCTCCGACTTGTCACAGTAAATATATAACCTTAAAACGTATACACAAATAGACTGTCCGATTATATGTTGAGGGAAATGTATCTATTAGCATTTTTCGCCGTATTTCATTATTAAATTAATATCTTATCGTAATGACCTTATATGTATATGTAACGTGTGGTGGGTGGGTTACCCCCACGGCACTTAGGCCTCACTAAGTGCCCAATATGCATCCTTCTAAGATGATAGGCATCTCCTAGCTCGTGAGCCAGCCTACAGATTTAATGTAGTTGACAACGTAATCAAGAATTGCTTCTCTTATATCAGCCGGTGTTAACCGATACTCACCGAACACATATCTTCTAATAAATGGGAGCGACGGGCAATCGTAGAGGATATGCTCGATGGTCTCGTCTTTTTATTCGCACCCCCTGCAGAGCGCAGGTTCTGACAGTACCATGATAAGGAGAAGCCTCCATACTTAGCAATAACCAGGCGCAAATTCTGTCTAGTCATAGTCAACTATTTGTTTCCTATAGTGTTGCCAGGATAACTTGAAAGCTCCCTGACAACTCTGCAGTTTCTTGTTTCATCCCATCTTTGGGGTTTTCGGGACCCAGACAACTGCCCCGTATGTTAGCATAGGTCTTATGCGACGACTCTGGGGGAGAAACCCCAGGTGCGCTTCAGCGATTCGGCGGCATTTTTCATAAGCAATGTATATTCTTTTGACTTTCTGTTTTCTAAGTGTGGATTCCATGTTAACTTGCTGTCAAATGTGAGACCTAGGTACTCCACCTTTGTTGAAAAGTTTAGTTTTGTGTTTAGGAGTTCTGGAGGTTTCAATTTCATTTTCATCCTTTTCTATTTAAAGAGGACCATTTCTGTCTTCTTGGGATTGATAAGACAGTGAATGGTCCTTGCACCACTGTTCTATAATTTTAAAAGATACTTGTATTCTTTCGTATGTTTTCAAAATTTCCTGTTTACAGAATGACCAAGTCATCTGCATACGCTATTGTGTAATGACTGTCATTATTAAGGCGGCTGATGAGGGTGTCAAGGACCATGTAGAGGTCACCCCTTCTTATGGACAAGCCCCTTATATTCACATCTGCTATACTTATGTTTACTGCTCGCTTTGAGAGCATGTTATGTATCCACACCCAACAACCATCTGTGGAACATTCCTGTTGGTTAGTGAGTGTATTATCTTGGGGAAGGTGATTTTATCAAAAGCACCTTCTACGTCTATGAAAACATCCAAGGCGGACTCCTTATTGTTCAGGGATCTCTCTATCAGACCAGCAACTAGGTGAAGAGTTGAATCAGTAGATCTGCCTGGGGTGTATGCATGTTGAATTGGATATTTTTTTGTAATGTAATGTGTTATTGTAATAACCGCATCTTTTATGTACCTTTCGCATAACTTTTCCAATGCCTTCATGGAAAATGATGTCAGATCCATCCATCCTGAATACTACTTTTAGCTCTCTTCATTTTTTGGGGATATTACCTCAGAGCCAACGAGGATCTGAATATACCTACCAGATGTGGTGTGAATTCTTCCAGGCCTCATTGAAGTAGGGCTGCATAGATACCATCAGGACCTGGTGATTTAAATGGAGAGAAACTGGATATTGCCCATCTAATTTTGTCATCGTCTACAATGTATTTGGCAGTTTGCCAATCATAGACAGATGGGTTATATTCTTCCTCTGCCCAGTCGGCCACGTCTGTGATGACCGAGTCAGGGAAGTGTGTTGACAGCAGAAGTTTGATGATATCTTCGAGGTTGACAGTTTTAATGCCATCCTCTTTAGAGCACCAATGCTACGGTGTGGATCTTTTTGAAACATCGCTGCCTGCGAGAAATCTTCGATTTCCTTGCAGTATGATCTCCACGCTCCTCTCTGTTTTTGTCTTAAAATTTTTTGTATTCTCTGAGGCAAGATTTGTTAGTATGCCAGTCCTCTTTGAGTTTTGTGGTTTTTGCTTTATTAAAGTAATGAAGTTAAGTGACATAAGTTAAATTGAGTTGGTTTTTGTGATTCGAATAGATAAGTTGATTTTTGAGATTTAAATAATTATTTTATGCTTTGTATGCATTTTAAACCTTTTCTTAGCGATTTTTTACTATTCCAAAGGACTCGCATCAAATACGTAATCTTCACGTTCTAGTGTTTAATTTAATAAATCCCGTATTTACGTTACATTGTAATTATTATATTCCATAGAGTAGAAAAACGACCCCCCTATAAAGTACCCCCAGATGATCCGACTATGCCCAAATACAGTAATATATACAGTAAAATTTTAAATATATTTTCTTACCATCTTTAATTCTGTCAAAAAGTATATTCAGTTCTTTCTCGTTCACTATGTTAGAATTTTTGAACTTTGTCTCGAAGTGATTCAATAGCACGTTCAGCGAGTTCAAATATGATGCTTCGGAGGTGATGATCTCGAATTTGGCTTCTTGCAGTTTTTTCTGTTGAGGACTTAGCGTACCTAAAAACGAGAAATAACATTTTTTTAAATAATCCAAATAAATCAACAATTTGAGAAACTGTCACCGTTTTAACAACAAATATAATATTATTAGAAAATAGTAATGTCATATCTTAATAGCTCCATCCAGTGGTCGTTTGTAGAAACTTAAAAGACAGTTCTCTTATAATGACAATTTTAATAACTATGAAGACTAATAATTAATGCCAATGGTATTTTCACTGTTAAACTGTCTTTGTCCACGACCACTTAATAATAAATCAATATTCTACCTCCTAACTAATAGGATATGGTACCCATATCTCACTAGAGTGAATTATGATAATTCGCGCTTTTAAAATTCTAGCAATTTCCGGTAGATAACTGGAGATGGGCGATACTTTTCATAACGATATTTTCTAGATCGAAAAATCAGAAATTCAAAAAATTGGAAAATCGGAAAATTGAAAAATCAAATAATCGAAAAATCGAAAAATCAAAAAATCGAAAAATCGAATAATCGAAAAATCGAAAAATCGAAAAATCGAAAAATCGAAAAATCGAAAAATCGAAAAATCGAAAAATCGAAAAATCGAAAAATCGAAAAATCGAAAAATCGAAAAATCGAAAAATCGAAAAATCGAAAAATCGAAAAATCGAAAAATCGAAAAATCGAAAAATCGAAAAATCGAAAAATCGAAAAATCGAAAAATCGAAAAATCGAAAAATCAAAAAATCGAAAAATCGAAAAATCAAAAAATCAAAAAATCGAAAAATCTAAAAAACCAAAAATTGAAAAATCGAAAAATCGAAAAATCGAAAAATCGAAAAATCGAAAAATCGAAAAATCGAAAAATCGAAAAATCGAAAAATCGAAAAATCGAAAAATCGAAAAATCGAAAAATCGAAAAATCGAAAAATCGAAAAATCGAAAAATCGAAAAATCGAAAAATCGAAAAATCGAATAATCGAATAATCGAAAAATTTAAAAATCTAAAACTCAGAAATTTGAAAAATCGGAAAATTGAAAAGTTGAAAAAAGAACAGTTACCTATGTTTAATAAAAACTTTCCATTCTACATTTAACTTTTATTTAATAAAGAAACCATAATGGTCGTGACAAAGTATTAGACTCACAATTTATGGCCCTTATTCACACGGGTGACTTGCGCGCCTCGCCTACGGCTCGGGATGCAAACGTCACCCTGCGTGAATAATGGCTACCATAAATTGCTCGTTTAATAATATACTATTAAAACACAAGTTTGAGAAAAATCTGTTATTTTTGTTTTTATTTGCCAGGGAATACTAATAATAGAGAGTATGTGAGTATTCTGAGTATCTTTTTGTTTTGAATCCTGTATTGTTTCATAATAATTCCTAGTTTTAATTAACCCCCTTTCTGTTAATGGATTTTTTTTTAGGTTGAATGTATTGACTGCGGGATATTAAATTACTAAAAAGTTTAGTTCGTTTTTTTTAAATCTGGCTCCTTTTCATTCAAATTTGAGTACGATTTTATTGACAAATATCCATGTAAAAATTGCAATGATTAATCAATTAAGAAATTAATTGAAAATTCTTACTCAAAACAGCTGAATTGACAACTTCGGGAATTTCGCACCATAAACTTCTGTTGAACGAAATCGTTCGGGACACAGAATTGTTTTGCTGATCCGATTGGTCAACTATACTCGAAGAAATGTAATTTTCGTTCATTTCTTCCATGTCTTCGTAGATGTCCGAGTCGAAATCGGATGGCATGTCGTCGTAGGCGGACTGAAAATAATAAAAATGGATTTTTAAACATTAACTTTCAATTAATACCTTCAAGAAAAACTGGAGAGTTAATTGGATAAACAATTTTATGCAGGAAAATGATTTGTCTCAAAGTTTTTCTTATTTTTATTTAATACGTCATTTTTATATGCCATTATTACGCTTATTACTATTACTAAAACGAGTATAAACAGGGTTTAAGACTATTACTATTACTAAAACAAGTATAAGTTCATTTCATAGCCTTTCAGTTGCACGTCATACGGAATATATCTCGCTTTATCGCATTAAGTTGAAAGAAATGCAAAAAACGGTACGTCCATTACACATACTTTGATTACTATACGGTGCAAGAAAGAGGTATGACATGCCCAACATAGGGCGCGGCCATTTTGATGCCTTTACCACAGTTTATAGCTAAAGAATCAGTTCGCTCACTCTGCGCCGGCACTTTTGATCTCAATGTTCCAGTTTATACACTGCGCAACTCGGATAATACAATATATGACAACCGCCTATAATAAAACAGCAGTCTTCTGCGTATCCTGAATTTGTATACCTGGAGTGGATGTTATTTGGGAACTTTCAACTGGTCCGAGTGAGCTAACTGATTCTTTAGCAATAAACTGTGACTCCAAAAATAATATTCACCACATACTTTGATTTTCTTTTACTATACGGAGAATGGTCGCACTGCGCAACTTCCTGAGTGCCTCTTAAAAGAAGATAGAAAGCTCCGCCATTTTGATCCCTTATTACGTGTTGCCTACATCTTGGCGCAATATTTTTAATAGGTGAGTTTTAACATCCGCTTCTGCTTCGGAATTGTCGGTTTTCTTGTTTTAATCTGACAGGTTAAAACGACTAAAACGACTAAACCGACAATTCCGGAAGCAGAAGCGGATGATTTAAACGTACCTGATATTTTGCTTGCTGCTGTCAGTGAATATTATTTTTGGAGTCACAGTTTATTGCTAAAGAATCAGTTAGCTCACTCGGACCAGTTGAAAGTTCCAAAATAACATCCACTCCAGGGATACAAATTCAGGATACGCAGAAGACTGCTGTTTTGTTATAGGCGGTTGTCATATATTGTATTATCCGAGTTGCGCAGTGTATAAACTGGAACATTGAGATCAAAAGTGCCGACGCAGAGTGAGCGATCTGATTCTTTAGCTATAAACTGTGGCATAGGAATCAAAATGGCCGCGCCCTTTGTTGGGCGTGTCGGACCTCTCTCTTGCACCGTACAGTAATCAAAGTATGTGAATATTCACTGACACTGACAGCAGCAAGCAAAATATCAGGTGCGTTTTAATCATCCGCTTTTGCTTCCGGAATTGTCGGCTTAGTCGTTTTAACCTGTCAGATTAAAACAAGAAAACCGACAATTCTGAACCAAAAGCGGATGATTAAAACGCACCTATTAAAAATATTGCGCCAAGGTGTGGGCAACACGTAATAAGGCATCAAAATGGCGGAGTTTTCTATCTCCTTTTAAAAGGTACTCAGAAAGCTGCGCAGTGCGACCATTCTCCGTATAGTAAGAGAAAATCAAAGTATGTGGTCCACTATAAATGTTCGTGACGCAACAAAACCATGAGAGATATAACCACGTAGATATTAAGTAACTATAATTGACACAATACAGGCATTTTATTGGCTGCCGTTTGCTATACGTCATGGCCTCATAGTCAAATTGAAATGTTGAACACGCTTTAGCTATTTTTGATAAACGTCAAAGTGTACGCCTGATAGTTTTTATCAGACCAGTACTTTCATTAGTTTCATTTGTAATTATTGTGGTTAATCACATTTTTTAGAAGTTGGAATATTATTTTTTATTTATTTTGATAATTATAAACATGCCGAGGTATAGCGAAAAAGAGCAAGCGTTTGTATTAAAACTGCTTGCTTATTTCCAATTAGAAAAACAAGCCGGTAAAACTCTACTGCCCGTAAATGCTGTACATGAAGTAAGTTTCTCATCTTAAAGTTTAGTAAAAATTAATTGATGGTCAATTAATTTTAGCGTGTTTCGGCCGCCTTAGGAAAATCGCTATCGACTGTAGGACGATTGGCAAATGAAAGTATTCAAGCAGATCGCGAATACTCAGCTAAAATGTGAGAAATACGAACATGGTATCAGAACTTTTATATACAGAATGTTTAGTCAAGGTTGGCATTTACTAAATAGATATTTTTCAAGTTAGATTGTATAAGGTTCTAAATATCTTCATTAATGTTATTATGTTTCCATTTCACATACAACTTTGTTTACTAGTTCATTATGAGTTTATTTTCAAGGGTTAGTTTTAATAATTGTTTTTTGTGACATTTGTTCTTACTGTAGGTGAGCATGTGACTTTATTTGTTGAAGAAAAAATGAGAAGATGTACATGGGATAAATACATCAGTTTCTTCCCTCAGTAGTGCTTTAAAAGAATTAAAATTCAAGTGGATAAGCTGTAACATTTTTAACAGAAAATATCTCATGGGACAGTCACATGTTACACAAAAAAGATTATGTAATTACGAGATTTAAAAAAAATGAAAGTGATTCTCATCGTTTCAAGCCTGTATATCTTGATGAAACTTGGATATTTAGCGAAGAAGGATTTCGCAAAAGCTGGCAGGATGGTACCGATAAGGCAGCCAGAAAGAAGAGTGGTGAAGGTGTACGATACATTGTTCTTCATGCGGGTTCTGAAAATGGGTTTATTAATGACTGTAGCTTGATATTTAAAAGTGGTAGTAAATCTGGCGATTATCATGATTCAATGAATGCTGATAATGTTGAAAGATGGTTTGATTATCAGCTTCTACCAAGCTTAGAAGAACCGTCATTAATAATAATGGACAATGCGTCGTACCATTCAACGTTGCTCGAAAGAATAACAAATGCAAGTTGGAACAAAGTTTCTCTGATTAATTGGATAAAAGAAAGAAATATACAGTTTTCAATGCCTAGTATGAAGTTCGAATTGTTAGAAATTGCCAAGAAACATGTACCAGATAAAGTATACAGGTATGTTATGATATGATATAATTTAATAAGATATTAAAAATGCATATTTTACAGATTAGATAGATTAGCTCTTTTGCATGGCAATCGTGTGTTGAGACTGCTTCCATATCATTGCCAGTTCAATCCAATTGAACTTGTTTGGTCTGAGTTTACACGGTATTACGATGCAAAAATAACTTCGTTAGAATGTATTACTACAGATACTGTAATTAGTGTTTGGAACTAATCTCTTCAACAGGTTTAATGCAAAGTTTTTTCTTATGCTATGGTTTATAATTGTTATGTAATTGTAGATTACACCAGAAAAATGGAAGAGATATGTAGACCATACAAGAAAAATTATTGATGAATATTGGGAGACTGCAAAAATCATTGATGCAAGTAATATCTCTCCTGTAATCATTGATTTAAACGAATTGGATAACGAATCAGATTGAGACTTGTGGGAAGAAAACTCTGCATAATAAACGTTTATTGTATTGTATTCAAAAATGACCGTTGTTCTACAAGTTTAACATTACCAGTTTTGTTAAATTTCAATGATTTCCAAGGTAATTAGTTTATCGAATAAAACTTATGTGATTTCTTATTGTAGGTTTCATCCGGCAAGTGATCCTTGTTGTCTTATAATAACTAATTTTAGGAATTTATTTACTAATGTTATATTATTTATGATAATAAATATCAATTGAAAATACATTTTGTTTTATTTTGTAATGTTTTGATATCACAATTCTTATTAATTTCGAAGCCTTTTCCTATTTGGCTGAATACGATCCTGACAACTGTCAAAATTTTATAGAGTCCTTAGTCGCCATCAAATTACATGTAGTATTTGGTGACGTGCAACTGAAAGGCTAGCAATGATTTTATATAAATGAACCCTGTTGGTATGTCACTGGACACAACAAATTATTTTTCGTTATTGAAATTTAGAATCACTATAGATAACAAGTTCTCATAGTTACATAAATAAAAATATTAATAAAGACGTATATACTTACATCGAACAAAGATGCATCGTAAAATTGATAAAGAGGTTCATCGTCCAAGAACGTTATGTCATTTTTAGAATAAGTTACCGAAGAATCATCCTTTTTGGAATCATTACTGCTTAAACTATACACGCTCTGATTGTTGTAATTACTTTCGATTTCATCGACGTGATTATTATTATTATTATTTTGTTCGTTGTTGCTTTTGTTCAACTTAACACTCAGCTCTTGAATCACACTCGAAAACATTTTATTATTGACTGGTTCCTTGTAGATGCTCGTCTTTGACGTTGTATGTTTTTGGTTTTTTAATTTTTCTTTGATCTGTTTAGTTTTCGATGGTAACGTTTTGGAATAGAGACCGGAAGTGGTGTACCAGGAGGTTTTTTTGTTTTGAACTTGTGGATCTGGTTCGGCATTCGTGTACCAAGAAGATCTCCTGTTCTTGTTTATTTCTGAATTGCTGATTATCGGCAGTGGTTGTTGGTAAATTGGTTTCTTCGTTTCTTTATCTACAAATTATAAATAAGTAATAGTTAATTATTTTTTATTTCGAAAGAAACAACTATTCATATTGTAAGTTCTAAGAATTTACCTTTATTTCTGGCTGGCACGGGTGGGGGCGGCATCTTGGGCCTCGTAACTTTACATTTAGGACTAGCAGACATGATCGAATGTACCGAAACGGAATCATCTTTAATGTCCCCTTTAATGTCGTCAATATTTATTGGATCAGTCAAGTAAAAAGTACTTCTTCTTTGGTTTTGAGTATTCTGTGTTTCGAAATAATTTGCTAGATTCGTTACAGATACAGCGGATAGGGAGACACTTCTTTTTATTCTGGTTAAGAAGCTGTCCGATTTAGATGTTTCGTTTAGTTCGATTTTAGGTGTTTCTTTTATGGGTTCACTGGAATTGATTGCTGAAGGGGGTCTGTCATCGTCTTCTAAGGAAAAAAATGTAAAACATTATTGGTATACTC